GGGTCATGAAATGTCGGCAAGGAAACCCCCAAGCTTAGAGAACCCCACGGACCCCCGATGGATATAGTCCTTCCGATGAGGCCACAGCTTTTTAGCCTTCCGATTCACTCACGGGGGGCTTGGAGGAAGAGGGAACGGCCCCCAGGCCCAGCGGAAGGTTCTCACGACCGGTCTAGCCTCCCTGCCCTTCTGGAGAAGCGTTCAAGACCAGAGACCCTGTTTCTCTCTCCTCCTCCTTAGGGTTAGTGGCCCCAAGCGACCCCAGAAATCTCTCTCTCTCTCTGTGTGTATTCGCTGCTGCCGCCCCCCGTCGGGTGACTCTCGGCCGCGTTCGAAGCTTCTGCTGGGAGTGACGAAGACTCCTCGGAAACGAGATGGGCGGCAATTAAATGTTATTAAAAATAAATAAATAAACCCACCTGCTTCTGCCCGGCGGAGAGAGGGCCTGCTTCGGATCCCGTCCGTTAAAATACCCCCCCCCGTCTATCGAGATCCAGAAGAAGAGCCTTCCCTGCTGCAATGCCCACCCCTTGGAACTTACTGCCCCACAAGGATAACCAACCTTCCCTCCTTCCACAAGACCCTGAAGACCTGCCTTGGGGTCCAATTTTTTTTTTTTTTTGGGGGGGGAGGCAACTTCCACGCTGAAGGGGGCAGACTCCCCCCTCCGCCTCCTCGCTCTCTTCTCTCCATCTGTCCATCTTTTCGATCATCATATTGATGTAGTTATTCTTGCCATGTTCCTTTGTCGCCGTTTATTTTATAGTTCGACTAGCTCTTTACCCATGTACCACGATGTGGCCGGGCTTAGTTTTGGGGGAGGAAAATAAGGGGGAAAAAAATTCTGCCTCTGCCTACCAGCGTCCATCGGTATTCGTCTGGCTAGCGTCCTGTCAGTGTGTGAGAGAACTGAGGGCTGTTTGGAAACTGAAGCAGAATTTGCTGTGTGAGCAAGGAAGAGACAGCAAGGAGCCTGGGCGTGGCTTAGCTCAACTGTTCTGTACCAAAGTTGCTTGTGTTTTGCATTTTGAAAAGATTTCTTTTCAGGTGGGGAGTGGGAGTAGAACTCCTTAGCATCAGAGCATGTTAATAATAATAATAATAATAATAATAATAATAATAATAATAATAATAATA